CCCCCCGCGCCCTCGGCTGCTGCACCCCATGGCCCCCGTCCTGCCCCCCGCAGCCCCCAGTCCACATCGTCCCGTCCTACACCCCCTCCTGCACCCCCATGTCCTGGTCTTGTACCCCACATCCCCAGCCCCCCTCCTGCATTCCCCATGTTTCCCAGCCCTGCACTCCGTACCTCCTGGTCCCGGACCCTCAGTCCTACACCCCTAGTCCTGTACCCCATATCCTGCACCCCGCATCCCACATCCTCCCAAGCCTTGCCGGAGCAGGAGGAGGAGGCAACATCCCCAGCCCACGCACCCTTCCCAGACACCGGTGAGCTCCAGGCCCCGGAGCAGGCGCTGAGAAGCTCCCCGCACCCTGCAAACCCCCAGGGAAGCATCACCAGAGCCTGCATCCTCCCAGGGGTGCTCAGCCCAGCTGGGTGCAGCCAGGAGCCCCCCACCCCAGCACCCCATGGGAGCATGGGGCCGGTGCTCTGCCTGCCTTCCCTCCCCGACCCCAAAGGCAGCCCTGCACCCAGAAGCACCCAGACCGTGTGGGTCACAGGGCTGCCAGGAGCTGGGTGAGCACCCTGGCAGGGTGGGCAAGCACCCCAGGAGCTGGGCTAGCACCCCAGGGAGGGCAGGTGAGCACCCCTGGAGTGGGGTGAGCACCCCAGGGTGGCCAGAGGGTGCCCAGAGAGTAAAGTAGGGGAGAAGCAGCCGGCAGCCCTTGTTGGGCCTCGTGGCCGCGTGTGCAAGCGTGTGTGCAAGCGTGTGTGCACGCGTGTGCACGCGTGTGCGCCAAGGTCTGTGAGTGACACCTGCCATCAAAGCTCTGCCACTTCAGCAGGGACCTGTCACGGCGAGGTCCCCAGGGGCCACCCAGCTCCGCAGCGGGCCATGCCCGGGCGCCCAGGCACCCAGGGGCGGGTGGGTGCCGTGCCGGGGAGGCGATGGGCACGGGGCAGGAGGTGCTCCGAGGGATGCCGCCCCACTCATTGCCCTCTGCCCCCTCCCAGCTGCCCACCCTGGGGAGCTGGTGCAGGCGTCGGAGCGGCTGTGCCCCGCCAGGCCAGGCTGTGGGTACCCCCAACCCAGGGAGGGAAGCAGGGTCTGGCCGCCCGCTCGCCACTAGATAGAGCTCTGAGTTCAGCCTTGCTTTGCCCACGCAGGGGGGCCCTCCTACCTTGCCCCCTTGTCCCCGTGCATGTCCCTTGTCCCCTTGCAGCGGCCCTCCTGCGCGTCCCAGCCCCGAGGTGCTGCAGCAGGGACGAGGAGCTGAGCGGGGCCCCCTCCGGCTCCTGGCTCATCGTCCCACGCAGCGTAGCCCGCTCTTGCTGCTCCCAGACCAACACAGCCCTATCGTCTTACTTACAATATTCTCACAACTTGCATTAACATTATTTTTTAAGCATTCAGTGTTACTGCGTACAATTACTGCCTTGGGGACACGCTGGATGCACACAGGCATCCGGGCTCCGCTCCCTCCCCTGCCCACTAACCCCCCCAAATCCTCTTTCCCTTTTGC